GAGCACTTTCATTAAAATAATATATGAGTCCCTTAACCACTGCATGAATAATCGGATAACCAATACGCCAATAACTTATTCGGTTGGCGAAATTAATTATTGCTATTGACAGGAAAATCCCATTATTTCCATATCTCTTAAGACAATGCCTTGTCTATATATGAAATGATTCCCGATTATGTTTAACTTTTCTAAAATCACCTAATATAGACCACTCCGTTGGGGGCTAACACTATTAATTTTAAATTGAGTGTATAATGTTATTAATGCTCTAACGAAAAATAAAACATTAAATATCTTGTCATTATAATTTAGACTCTTTAAATCATGCGTAGAGCCTTATTTTTAAATATCTAATTACAATAGACATTTAATATTTTTATTTTTATGAGATAACCATTCATGTAATTTTTAAACTCTTCAAATCATACGTAGGGCCTTATTTTTTAAAATCTAATTACAATGGTTATAATAACGAAGGCCATGGGTATAAAAATCCCCGCTCTCATTCAATTTTTAATTATTTATAATTAGGATTTTCAATTCATGATTTAATACATGCAAAACGTCTTGATTTTAATCCAATTAAATTTAGAAAATATTTGGACTTTTAAATGATTCACTAATATTTAATTTGAGGCACACTTTAAAAATAATTTACAAAATAATTTTTTTTTCCCAATAAGTGCACTATAATTAATTGGTAATTAAATCCAATTAATTTTCATAATTTAATTAATACAAATCAAGTCATTTAGATAAAAATCATGGATCAAATGTATGAAAAATAATAATTAGCAATTAATTATTTCATGCATCACATAAATAATTAAATAATAGACAAAAACAAATAAAATGACCAATGGATTTAGCTTTTAACATTTAATTGCTTTAATAATTTCGCAAGGGTCCATTATAGACTTGTGTACACCTGCAGAAGGTTGTAAGCCGACCCCACGCGCCACCAGACACAATTGGATGCCTCAAAACACATCTGACGCGCCTGCACGCGCTGGTGGGGCCTTGCAACGCGTGTCACGGGCGTCTAGAAATGGCCGGCAAGTTTTACACGCCAGCATGCACCTTTTGGTTCCAGTTGCATCAGCATGTAAGTAGCACACGCCAATTGATTATGTGCGCCCAAGGCGCACTGTAGGCGCGCTGCACTGGATCTAATCTTTAGCCGCCATCTTTATCCAACGGTTAACGATCCGGGAGCACCGTATACAGGTTCACCGTGCCGCACCGGATCGGCCGGCCAAACTCCGGCGCCTCCTTCGCCGCCTGCGGTACTCCGGTCACAGGAAAATTGCCGAAAAAATTACAGAAAAATAATAAAAATTCCTAGAAAATATTATTTGGCCCAAAAAATTCCAGAAAAATTCTAAATAATTCCAGAAAATTCCTGAAGCCAAAATAAACCTTTTGGATCTTCTAGAAACTTCAGAGCATCCTTTAATGAAGATTACATGGCTTTAAATAAATTTTACAATTTGAAATACAATGAAAAAAAATTAAATTACATCATTGAACTTTCTAATGGCTAAATCAAATCCTTAATTACATTCATCAAAAGATAAAATTACATTAAACCTATAAGCTTCATACATGGCCCATAAAAACATCATCATCCATTCACAATTATGCATACATTATCATCATGTATCAATATATATCAACATATTAAATCATACATCAACATACATCAATAAATATATATATATATATATATATATATATATATATATATGCATATATAATTTGGATCCATGAATGATGATTTTTATAAAAACATGATCTCCAGTAATGAATTAAACCATACTCTGATACCACTATTTGGAAATGTGCAAGTTTTAAAAACTTTTTAAGGGATTTTTATACATAGATCTTGATTCATCACATAGAGACAAGTTTTATGCAAAAATAAAATATGATGTATCATTCAATTAATAGATTGAATACTTACATCAAGGTTTGAGTAAATCTTTGATCTCTCATCTAAAGTGAATGTTCTCACTTATTGTATATCTCTTTGCTAAATGTTTTTTCTTTGGATCTCTATCTTCTTGATAATGGTCTTGCCTTTAGGAATTACTCATAAGCCTCCATGAACGACCTTAGAAAAATAGGCTTGTGGGAGCCTCCATTAGATGAGAACATTAACTCTAAAATTATAGAGAGAGAAAAATATATTCATTTTTCTTCCAAAAATCACCCACAAAATATACATGGACCATGTATATATAGGCACATAAAGATAAGGAAATAAAACAATAAATCCTTCTCAATTTCTAATTCACATATCTCAAATCTAATATGATTCCAATATCAAGTTGGGCTGTGAGTGAGAATCCTTTGGGTTTATTATTTTCTTGGTTATAATGAATTAATAATTAGCTCGATCCATGGACCCAATTCAATTAATTCATAAATTAATTTCTACTCCACTAAAAAAAATTAATTGAACTCCAATTAAATAATAAATAATCTCTAAGTTGATGTTGCACTTTGACCCCTCTATGCATAATTAGTTATCGGATAAATAAAGCCATCAATTCGACTACTTAATTAATATATTCATCTTGGTACCTTTGATTATCTCCGGCTTGATCACAATAAAATATTTATTTGACAAAAATAATAATTTAAATAAATAAATATATAATAAATCATTTTGTCTAAAAACACGTGAAGGCCTTCGAATTTACTTTGTGATCAACCATGATCATTACAAAATAAATACAAGTAGCAATGATGCAAATATTGAAAATATAACCTTCTGACTATTAATTACATAATTACCCAAAGTGCCGGTCTAAGGATTCCGAAGATTCCGCTGAATAAATCAAAGTAATTACTAATTAATAAAAGAGTCTATACTTCTCTCATATTTAAGAGTCAAATGCCATGACGGTGATAGGGAACAATTGCATACGACGGCTCTCGCAATTTATTTTAACTTAACGCGGATCCAGTTCAAGTCTCAGTTAATAATTAGTCCATCCATAATTACCGACTATGAACTATTTATGATTACTATTTATATTCATGTATTGATCGCCATCACATATATATATAAATATCTCTTGTAATCAAGTGGACACTATCAATTCCACAACGAATTGAAACATAATATATTGAATTCATCAATTGTATAAAGTATAAATATTTCAGATTTCTTAGGAACATATGTCACTTTAATTCAATTAAAAATTTGCTATGCCAGGGCATATAAATCCCAACAGTTTGATTCAAATGGAAAAAAAAAAAAAAGAAAAAAAAAGGGGGCTTATAGAAAGAAATGGTTATAAAATCTTCTAATGATTTAGCTTTTCTCTTTGTATTCCAACTTTGTAATACCATTTTTTATTGGTTTAGATTATAAAGAGTGTATCATGTAAAAAAGACTTTGAAAATGAAATATATGTGTTCCATATTAAATTAATGTACACTTTAAGTAACCTCCAAAATAAAACAAAACTATTGATGTAGAAAAGTGATAAAAAAAAATAATAAATAATAATAAATTACGTTTAAGAATATCATGGAAAGTACATTTGCCCCAAATCCATACTATTATGTCACTATTGATTGAAAATTAAATGCTTCCTTGATCATAAGTTTTTGGAATAATTTATTTATTTATTTTATTTTATTTTTTTAAATTTTAAGGCACAGAATTGTACCCAACCAGCGTTGACCTACAGCTTACCTGCTAAAAATATTAAGTGTACCAAAAATTAATCCTTCAATATTCTCCCACGCCTTGTGACCAAATTCTACACATCCTACACATCCTACGCATTATTTTTATTTTATTTTTACAAAGAAGGGAGAGGATGACTCGAACATGAGTAAACTGAGCTGGATGTTTTACTAATTAAGTCATTAGATAATGCCCTAATTTATTGCATTTTCATGAAATATTATTTTTAAAGTTTCCTTCCTAATTATTTCATATTTTAACTTAAAAAATGATTATTTTCCAACTAGAAACAAATTTTGCCTTCCCAAATTAACATTCACAACTTAAATTGTGATGTATATTATCATCATCATTCATACTTTATCCCATATAAATGAATTGAGCCACGCGATTATCTTATTTCTTATATTTACTCGTATCAAATATCATAACATCCACATTTTTGCTACTATGGAAAGGGATGGTGATACTAGATATGCGGTTCAATTCCATTAGAGGCAATGTGTCGTATGAGTGAATTTTTGCAGAAAAATAAAATAAAAAAATAAATAATCTACTACATGAATGAATTGTATTTGTATCTTTTCAAGGCTCAATGTCCCACTCCAAACAATATTACTGGCTACTAATCGTTTTATATAAAATTTCTTTTAATTTATTTAGCATTTTACTGTTTATTTATCACAAACCATATTTATAGTTTGCTTCCATTTTGTCCCAATTCTTCTTACCACCATCATAAATTGTTATTTTGAGTTGACGTTTGGAAAGCCAGGAGCATATATGTACATGACTCGAGACAATTGTTAGCTACCTGTTTTTTATTTGATCACTTGGAATCCTATAAATTTATGATGATTTTTTATTTTTATTTTATCATAGCACGAAACTCAAGAGAACAAATGTTCTAAAGGTTGGTAGCTAATTTTACTGTTAAATAAATAATTAATTTTATAAAACTATAAGTTTCAACCAAAAAAGAAGAAAGAAAGAAAGCATATTAACATTTGTAGAGACTAAATTAAATTTTTTTTTAGACAAAATTGACTGTAGATATTCTATAAAATTAAAATTAATGGCAAAGTTAAATGTTCAAGAGATTTAGAACTAATATTAAAACATTTATTAAAAATGTAGGACTCAATTATGAAAATTGATAGGACTTATAAAATTGTGAGAAAAGAGAAGATAGGACTTATAAATATTTATTTATTTTTAAATTTTCTCATGGATTAAAAAAAAATATATTTATTTTTAAATTTTCTCATAGATTAAAAAAAAAAAAAACAAATACTTTGAAAAACCTAATCAAATCAAACGGCCACAAATACAATTCCGTATTTCAGTGACGCGCAAGTAAAATACCACTTCGTCGCTCACTTCAGCATAATATCCGTTCTGAAGCCCTGTGAAGGCCGAAAAGAGAAAAACAAGAATGGGCCGCTCGGTTCTCTCTCACTTCCTCATCCTCTCCAATACTTCCCCACGCTTCACCTCTTCAATGTACTCTATCTATCACTTTCTCTCTCTATATATACATATACTTATATATATGTGTGTGTGTATATATATATATGTATAGTTTATTACTTCTTGTAAACCACAAGCTATGTATTATGTTGATGTTTTAGTATGAATTCAAGCAGGTCATATGGAATTCCGAGTAAATTCTTGAAAAGGCATGCATCGATTTGTCGTCCCCAACTTCCCAGTAGTCTCAGCATTGCAGGTTTCCGATGCAATTGCAGCGTCTCAGTCTCGCAGCCGGCCGCGCCGGAGACTTCTTCAAGCTCCTTAAAGTAATCCACGCCATCAATTGATCACTATTTCACATTTTCTTTCAGTTGTTTATTGGTTAAATTATGCTTTAAAAAGAAAGCTATTATTTTGATTCTAGATTATTTAATTTTGTTGGCTTATTTATGTTATTCTTATTTCGACTTAATTGAAATTTAACGTCTTGGAGCAGGACACTTTTTAACTTTTGTTTAATTTTTAAAATCATTTCTTAAAAGCTCATTTAGTTGGCCAGTTTCTTGCTATGAAGCACAAATAATTCTAGGGGACGTACTTGTATGTGTTTATGTCTCTTCCAATGCTTTTTAAACATACCCATAATTTTAAAATAATATTTTTTTCATTTTTGACATTTATCTGACACCTTTTCCAATATCATAATATAATTGTTAAGAAATATTTAGAATTTCTTCAAAAAAATGTATTGAGATACATATCATGAGTAATTTTAGTCCAAAATTTATTCATACTGTTTTTCATATTTTTTATAAATAAATAATTATTTTGGTAATTGAATAATTGTTAGTAACAACATTATACCATAAAGAGGAGAATTTATTGTCTGGGGTGCTTTCTAAATTGTTTTTTCCTTCTTCTCAATTATTTAAATTTATCCATAGATACATACACATATTAATTTTTATGTGTATCGACATTAGTATTATTATATAATATATTGATGTGTCCTTGTTGTATCTATACCTAGTTGTTCAAGAATTTGCTGAATCGCCGTGTTCTTATCTCATATCCTTGTCCATGCTTCATAGGTTTCTTCATTCTCATACTGTTAATATGATGCTATTATCAGGAGTAATGTCTGTCTTCATCCCTCCCCCCCACCCAGAAATTGTGTACACGGTGTTAACATAGCTATAGAAAATTCATCAACATGTATCTATAAACTAAAAAACTAAAAATAAAAAATCTTCATATGGTTTTTAATACAGAATATCTATATAATAAAATACTTAAGAGATCTAACATGGAAGGTTTAAAAAATGTAAAGAAGATAAAAGACACGTATGACGAAAATGCGACTATAGTTAGAACCACTGTGGGGGAAACAAGTGAATTTCCAATTACTATAGACTTGGTCAACATTAAGCCTAGGCTTTTTTGCTTTTTTGCTTTAGGGATTGATGACCTAACAAGATGACATTCCATGGTGTATATTATTTGTTGATGATATTGTTTTAACTGATGAAACTAGAGAAGATTAAGTGCTAAATTAGAGGTTTGAAGGGCATTTCTAGATTTAGAAGGGTTTAAGATAAGTGGGAATAAAATAAATATATAAAGTGTCATATTAGTAAATCTAGATGTACAAATAGGGATGTAGTGAAAACTAAGGATGAATAGAGGCTAAAAAGTGAATATTTTCGTTCTCTAGGTCTAGTCATTCACGATGAAGGAAAAATTGGAGATAAGTTAAACGGAGGTGTGTGTTTAGCATATTATGTGATCGTAATATCCCTCAAAGATTGAAATTTTTATTTTACTATTGGGCTGACATTCTTTATGCGACAAACTGTTGGGCAACTTAGAAACATCATATGCATAAAGTGAGTGTGGCAGAAGCCAAGTGCTGAGATGAATGTGTGGTAAGATAAGAAAGGATAAAATTAGAAATGAACACATTCATGATATGTTGAAGTAGCGCCAATTTAAAATAAATCGTGAGAAAATAGATTAAGATGCTTTGAACATGTGCAAAGAAGACCATTAAATGAACCAATTAGGAAGGACGGCATGGTCCACATTGCAGGTAATGCTAGTGGAAAGGAAAGAACAAAATTAACATGTTTAGAGTTAATGAAAAAATATATTATGACATGTGGTTTGATTGATGTTATGCCTTAGATAAGCATAATGGGGAAAAAAAGAAAAAAGAAAAAAAAAGGGTTCATATATCTGACCAAAGTAGTTGGAGAAAAAGCTTTGTTGAGGGGGGTTAAGTTTTATATATGTAAGACCATGTTTACAACTTTACATCCTACACAATATTTAAAAACTAATCGGTATTTATTAAGAAAAAATAGTAGTAGCCTCTACGCATTTTAATGAGAAGCCTGTCCTAGAATTTCTCATGGTTAGCTTTCAACAACAACAGTAACCAAGTGTTGGGATGTCTTTTAAGGATTGAGACCACAGTACTTAAAAAAAAAAAAGAGACAAGATTGAGACCATAGTACTTATAAAAAGAAAAGAGAAAATGATTGAGACCATAGTCAAAACAGTCATCTTAAGATCAAGTTGGCATAAAATTCTATCAGAAGTAATAATGACTGGAAGTCATAATTCTATTTTCATAGCCTTTGGCATTCAGGAAGAGATTATTAGAATTGAAAATTTTCAAGGACCATGCCTATTATATGAAGGGATGTAGAAATGTTAATAAATTAGTTATAGGTGATGCCATGGCACTATGAACTTGGTAGGATTAGTAGTTAGGAGGCACAAAAACTTAATTATGTAACTTTTACAGTCAGATGAACTTAAGGGCCATTAGGTTTTCTTTTTTGAGTCTCATCTGGATTCTATTATGATATAAAAATTATTATAATTTTCAATGCAAGGGGCGAGCTAGAATATTTACTAGTAGTACATTTTATATCTGTTATATGAACACGTTTCAGGTTTTAAGATAAGATGTGAAAAGAGAAGTGTGCACTATACTGAGGTACCCTGATCCCTTTGGACTCCAAAGATGGGTTTTTTTATGGATTGTATCAACCTCCAATTTGGTTCCAACAGTTGGTCTAAAGCTTTTAAGAGTCGTTTTTTTTGAGAAAAGTGAAAAAGATTATATCCAGTGAGTTAAAAAAATAAACTACCCATCAATCTTACCACATTGTTTTGTCCATTCACGTGGACTGTGTAACACATACTTGCTATAAGTTTGCAAGTCTGTTGCCTTGCATGTATGTTTGCTTGATCCTAAGTCTTAACTTAGATTATGGATATTTTCAGGATCTCTGACAATGACACTGCAATCCTTTCGGTTGGGCCATATACCCTATGGAATTAAATATTGTTGCATCGCGACGTTGAAAGATTCTTTATGCATAGTGGTTATTGCAAACATCAATGTGTATACTGGTAGAAATATGAGTCGTGTTGGCAAATGTGAACTGGTAGTTACTGAAAGCATAAATGTGAACTGTTTACCTGCAAACTAATTGTCTATGAATGGAAACTGGTAGGAATATGAGTCGTGTAAGCAATTTTTTTTTAATTTTTTTAAATTTTTATGAGTAATGATTTGTAAAAAAAGCGTTCAAAAGGGAAACGCATCCCTCAAAAGGCATGTGTAGGCAATTTCCTACACAAAATGGGGTTGTAGTGTGTGTCAAAGTGTCACTAGTCACGAGTCATTCATCTACAATCACGGAAGATAATGGAGATGAAGATCAATGAAGAACACATTGCAAATCTCTCAAGCTCAATCAAATATATAGGTTAAGGTAACTTGAGATTATAGAGACCAATTATGACATAGATTTGATCTTTAAAAGGTTCAAAATTATGTTTTAATCATGTTTAACAAAATTGGAGTTTTTGATAAAATAATTTCAAAACAGGATTTTTATAAAACAGTAAGCGTCCATCATTTGAGAAGTTTGAAAGAAAAATGGTTCAAAATTCAAAATGTCTCGATCAATGTGTCAAGTGATTGAATTTGTCTAGTGGTGCTCAATTGAAGGGTTGACCAATCTAACCTTATGGACACACTTTTATGAAACTCTTTCAAATCTGAATTCTATAAGGATTTTAGTTACCATATAGCATGGGTCACCTATACTGGCTATAAATATGGGGTTATAGTCAATTTAGTGTATCTTTCATAGGAGCTTTTAAATCTCTAAATATAATTGAGAGAATTTATATATTTAGAGAGAGAGAGCTTTGAGAATCAATCTATAAGGTTTCTTCATAGACTACTATACTATATGTGATTGAGAGAACCAAAGCAAGTAGTAGAATTGAAATTATCCATTAGAGCATCAACTGGGTGGTTTACAAAGAACAAGTTGATCGGGTGTCAGTAGTTGTGTTTGAGTCCATGAAGTAGCAGATTGCGTGAGGAGCGAGTCTGTCGATGGATCAATGGCCACAGGATGTGGAGAAATCTTACATGAGTTTTAGTCGGGAGGGACTTGGTGATTCTTGGGTCAGGGTAACTTAGCACGGAACCTTTTTCTCATGTAGTAAATTTTGATCTGCCTAGACTAGGTCCCGTCATTTTTTCTTGTTTAGGGTTTTCCATGTAAAATTAATATTTCGTCTCTGCTTTATTTTATTTATTACTTTATGCGTTTGTGTGGTTGCAATTGAGACATTTGACTGACTAATTAATTGAAATTCAAAAATTAACGGTAATTTTAAAAGTTAGTGAATTGTGAAATAATATTCATATGATCTATACTGTCCCCTCTAGGTCTAATTGAATTCGCACACTCTGATGTATTAGAGTCTCGGGGAATGGTCCCTACAATCTAACAATCAGAGCATATCGATTGTTGAATTAACAATAACCATTCTTAATACATATTTTGCATTTGTCTTGTCTATGTTATAGTTGGAAGGAGAGTCTTTGTTTTACCCACTAATTCACAAACATGGAAAAGATATTTATGGTGATCAGCTTACTTTATCACTCATTTCTAACTTATAATTTTAAGTTGACAATAGTCAGATGTAGGGATGAGTTCATTGTCATCCAATTTTCTTTAGGTTAAAAGGTTGACACTTTACAGTTACTCTTTCCTTTTCAATTTCAAAGGGAACTGTTCTTCCTTTACTCCATGATGCTTGTTCTTTCATCTTTTTTAGTTTTTAATTTACAGGAAGAGGATAGTGTCTGGAGTTCAGCCAACAGGATCTTTACACCTTGGGAATTATCTTGGTGCGATAAAGAATTGGATCTCACTGCAGGTTGGGTATTTTTTTATGCCAAACACGAAGCAATTTTTGCTATGAACATCGATTCTGTTTTCTATATATGTAATGATTATATTTTATTTTATTTCATTTTTTATTTTTTATGTCAATGTTTTTTTGTCTCCCTTTTAAAACATTAATGTTTTTGTATCCCTTTAAAATATTATTTGGACCATCCTTTTTTGAATATATTTTACAATCTGTGAACACACTTTTGTTCTGGCTTGCCCCAAGTTATGAATTATTACATTATTGTACTTGAGGACTGCGGTAGGGGCTATTTCTTGGTGTAGTGGTAAGAGTCGCTTGACAAGTGCGAAGGCGTGAGTTTGAGTTTGAGAGCAAGGATTATTTGCAAAAATAATGCCAAATATTAGGTTTGTCTTCATTCTTTCCTTCCTAATAGGTGCGGCCAGTACGGGCTAATGACATTTATTTGTTCCAACTTGACGAGTACACTTGTTGTTTGAGTGGTGGTTAGTCACTACCTTGAAACAGTGTTTTAATGACCCTTCTGAATTGATTGGTTTCATTGGCTGGATGATCAGCTAGACTTCTAAATGAATTTCTGATTTAAATCAGTGTCAGTTAGAGACTCATTTGACCCATGTGCCCTAAATTATTCTGGTAGTTACTTATATATTTTTAAAGTTCATATTTTATGCTCTAGTAGTGAGCTGGCAGTTAAATCGGCTTGTACAAGCCCATTGCTTTTCAGTGTTCGTTCTCTGGTCAGGTTTTTTTACAAGATTGTGGTTTCAATTTGCAAACTTCAGTGTATATTTTTTTTCAGCTTCTGCTCCATCTGACCATTTGGGTTTCCATTTTTTTTATCTCAAGGATAACTGGTTATACAAGATGCCTTGGGTTAAAATATCTGTTTGGAGTTGATTAGAAATTTCACTTACATGTGTTCAATCAATGGCATATGGTTTCTTCTGAGGTGCCACATTGTGAAATTGGCTCACATAGTTTTTTTTTTTTTTTTTGTCTCTCCTAATATGAAAAGGTCAACTGATCTCATTCACATGTATGAGATCAGCTTATTGTAAGACATAGCAGTACATCAAATGGACAAGTCTAGCATACATGGACAAAGAAATTTCCAGTTCAGGAATATTAGCTTTGTTTCATAATCCAGTGGAATTCATCTGTCACACTTTGTTTCAAAGGAATTGCAGGTTCAGGAATATTAACTTTAGCAGCCTTGTAAATCCACGGGGAAAACATATCATTTTTTTATTTTATTTTCTTATGTAGCATAGATTCTGGCTTTCAATATTTATATCCGATTTGGTCTTTCATGCTCTGGTTTCTCCTTGCAGAATACATATGATACTCTCTTCTTCATTGTGGACCTACATGCGGTATGTCCAAAATACCCTTTGAATTTCAAATTAAGTTTTTTCGAGTAATTTTCTCTTGCTACATGTGATGTCACTTGGCAGAGTACATATAGAACTGTTTATCACTTTATCACATATATAATACATGAAAAATGTCATCCACTTTGGTGCTTTGGCTTCCTCTCAACTTGTGGGACATTATCGAATCAATTTCCAGATCCATATGTCCTTTGTCTATCTCTTCATTGTTTTGATGTCTTTTTTTCTCTAAAATATTACACTTTTGAAAACATTGCTAGCTGTGTCTTATTGATATATTTAGAACATTTTATCACTGTCTTAAATTTAATGGTACAATTACAACATGCTGTTTATTTTCCACATGGCATCATAATGATCGGTTCTCGGGAGGTATACCATTAGTTTGATATTAATTTAGCATCAGGTGTGATGTGAATGAGGTTGAGAAGTGAAAGATAAGAAGGGAGATAAGGCAAAGGTGTTCTAGCCTTCAAGTAGAGAGTTAAGTGAAGGCCCCTAGTATGGAGGGTTTGATTTTCCTGACATCTATTGACACTGTCCTAAACCCTTATAGTAGAAAAGTTTAATGGTTACTTGTTAGGATGATGCCTCAATTCCTTTTTGTACCTAAACATATTCTTTATAAAATCTATGTAACTAGGCCGCTGTAGGATACTGGAAGAACTTAAGAAAGAAAATTTTCTCCAGCCTGTTGAAAATCAGCTAAAATCTGAAGGTTCATTTTTAAGGTAATGTAAAAGAATGTGGAATTATTTGTATACGTATCTTAATAAGAATACCATATAAGAAGTGGTATCGCGATTTGCCATCAATAATATTTGGCTAATAACTTCAAAACATATCAGCATTGAACTATCAATGAGTAAGGTAATACTTTATTAGCAAAGTTCTTACAGTATTACGATCGAGGTAGGCCAACTATTGATAAAGAATATTGGGTAAAACATTGTAAAAACATATTTATACATGTGATTTAATTTGAATGGTATTTCCTATCATTAATTGGTAAATGGTAATTCACCCATTAACTAAATTACAGTAGGACAGAGGAGCTATTATTACAACTATAAAAAGCTTTTGTTTGGGGTTGGTTTTGGGGGGTGGGAGGGGGCAGGGCCCCTCTTACCAGTTTCGTCCCTGTTTAATTGTATGGAACACAAGGTAAATCAAAGATGTACGGGTAAGGAAAGAGAACTTAAATCCTCTTCTCACCTCCCACAAAACCCAACAATACACATGAAAGCTGGTAAATGAGAATCTCCTCATGTGAGAGAAATCTATCTTTCATCCTGTTTCCTTTTTCTTTGAATAATTTCTTCTTTGGTGAAAATAGTATCAGTCGAGAAAGTTTTTTATTTTAGTTTCACTCCAACATGATACTTTATTGCAGGTTATTATTATTTTTTTCATTTTTGTTCAAGTTTTTTAACCACTTCTGTTTTGTCACTCACAGATAACTCTACCATATGACACGCGGCAACTATCTAGAGCAACAAAAGATACAGCAGCCATCTACTTGGCATGTGGTGTGGACACATCCAAGGTCTGGCTCATCTGTTTGAATTTATGCTAATCATTTTGTTGCTTATTGCAAGTGATGGAACTAACTTCGGCTTTTGTGCATAGGCTTCTGTGTTTGTTCAATCTCATGTGCGTGCTCATGTAGAATTGATGTGGTTGCTGAGTTCTGCCACCCCTATTGGTTGGCTGAACAGAATGATTCAATTTAAAGAGAAATCTCGCAAAGAGGTGTGCTTTTCTCTGTTTAAGGTTTTATATCCATATTTATCTTTAGCTAATATCTTGACAGTTTAAAATTTTAATTCCTCCTCCTACTACTAAAGATTTATAATGTCAGTTACATTGGAACCAAAGGGGCCATTGCTTGGTTTAGTGGTTAAGATTTGGGTTGTCAAGTGTGAAAATGCGGGTTTGAGTCTGATGGTAGCCCTATTTTGCAAATAATAATGAAGGTTAGCTCTGTACCCAATCTACCCCTTCCAGACAACAAGGACTACTTTGGTCAATGGGCCTAATGGACTGTTATGGAACATTGTGCAAAAGGGTAAAACCATCATTTTTATGGTCTGGTTCTTTGATTCTTCAATCTATGCTGTTGGAAGAATTTGACTGATTGGCTTCTTTGTCTTGGGAACTTAAATAGCTAATAGGGATTCGTGCGCGTGTCGGAGTATTGGACGCGTGTCTGACACTCTGTAGGCGCGCCCCCTTTTTTTATTTTTATTTTCATTGGTCGGACACGGCCTTTGGATTTTTTTTTTGAAAAAAAAAAGGGGAAAGAATTAAGATATATATATGTGTGTGTGTATTCATTCAAATTTCAAAGTAAGACATATGAAGTGAGACAGAGATCAATAGATGTCAAGAATGAAAAATCGATTGAGGGAGAGAGAGAGGTTGAGAGATGGAGGTTGAGAAGTTCAGCTGGAGGAGAACTTCTATCTGCAACTGTAGAAAAACCAGTGGTGAATGAACTACCTAAGGAGGAGCGAGGAGATAAGATTTCTCCTCTGTTTGGTTACCTTTGGATATTTGGGCCTATGACTTAGTTAATTTTTTGGATTCTTTGGGTCCTTAGACCCCGGTTCCACTCTTGTTTATGGGATGTGTTCCCCTTTTGAACGCTTCTTAATTGATTATTATTTATCAAAAAAAAAAAATGGAGTGGTTTCAAATATAACTATTCTACCTTCGGATATTTGAGCCTATGGAATATTTTTTAAGAGAAGTATAGACTATTTGGGGGGCCTAGAGGTTAGGTTTATGAATATAGATTATAAATTGAGTAAAAATTTAAAATTTATATATAGTAAAAATATAATATTATTTTATTGTTGTATCCCCGCCGTATCTGTGTCCTAATTTTTTTGAAATTTGTTGTATCGTTGTGTCCATGTCGTATCATACCCGTGTCCCGTGTTCGTATCCGTGCTTCATAGGCTCGAATGCTTGGGTATTATTCAAATTTGGACGGGTAATTCTGGACATAGGCATCACCACTTGCACGTCACTACAAAGCACAATTTTGGAATTAGAGAGATCAAGTTTATGCCATATATGTTGCTAAATTTTCTTTTAATTCCTTCCCCTTCCTGCTGATTAGACATGCTTCAGCACTCAAGTTCTTGGATGTGAAGATTAGTGAACAAAAGAACTAAAAAATATACATTTATTTAGATTTTTGATTGACCAAAAGTAGGGGATGAAATGGAGGAAATCTGGAGTAGATGCATGTGAATCCAAGTCCAGACCCATATTTTAATGTCACGATCCATATCCAGATCCAAATTCTAATGGGATCACGTGGGCATTAAAATCTAATCCATATAATACAAACATGATTCAAATAAAAAAAATATGCTTGAATTGGGTTGGTTCTCACATAACCATGATCCTTTAACTTATTCATATCCATATTCTACTTGAACCTTCAACTTATCTTTCAAGGAAGGTCAATCTCCGGCATATATATAATTGTTTATAAATCTGGATTCAAAAGTAAAATCCAAACCTGTTATAATTGAGTTTGGATCAAATTGGATCTCGGGTCAAACACACTCCATTTCAAGCCTTAGTCAAAGGTGAGACAGAACATGCTCTGCTGATTGAGCACACTATTAACAGGTTGAACAGTCTGAAAGACAAGCAATTGGACGGAGGCTCGATTGATCAAGGATGCTCCAAAGTGTGTGGATCTAACAAATTAAGGTTACAGAACGATTAGACTTACTTAGATTTTGTAATAGTGTACTAATATCCTATTTCGGATTGATTTTACTTTTTTACCGGAACTTGATCAAAGGTGTTCCAATGTCTATATGTACAAATGAAAACATTATTCTAAATATATATAAGCATGACATAGAATTTTAAGCCAACTAGAGATCCTTCCGGAGGAAATTATACAGTGTGTCGGTTTGTTGTGAAGAACGAATAGCCACAATTTCTACCATCATTCCTCTTGATTGAAGTCATACCCTCTATTTTTTCCTTTCACTGCTTGATACCAACACACTTCACTGTTTGTCCTGCTATGTACGCTCATACTTCACTTCTTTTGTTTAACACACATTTAAAGGGAGTTTTTTACTGCTTTAGCCTACAGTGCATTAAATGCACTGTAGATACAATTCGCCAATAATACATTTTCTTTTTCACTCAATGCATGCAAACTCCAATTTTACCGCCACAAATTCATTCACCTCTCACATACCATCTACCTCTTGCAGTGGCACGGGTTCGAATCCTGGAATCAGCATTTCTAGAATTATGGGTTAGGCTACCTACCATGTACCTTTCACAGACCTTGCTTAATGCAGGACCCTTGTGCACTAGGTACAACCTTATAGTTGATGTGGTAGCATCGAGGTTCCTTGGTTGTTTCTGTTTGGGCTTTTAATGTAAAAATAGTGTCTCTCTTTGTTGCTTGCTTGATTGATTGGTGACTAATTAATCAGCTTCATACAGTTGTGAACAAAATTGTGATTGGAATTTTGAATACCACTGGATGGAAGAGACATATTCAGCCCCCTCTAGCTTTGTCGTTCCATATATTTTTTGAGAACTTTCTAACTATTTACCAAAGCTTTCTCAATGTTTTATCCAGTATTAATCATCTTCATTCTGCTTTGCTCATATAATCTTCATGTGACTTTTCTGTGAAGAAAAAGAAAAGAAAGCCATCATAAGTATCGTCTGAGAGTGTTACTCTCACTATTATGGATCTAAAGTTTACTGAAAGTTTTTGCAACTTTAATTTGGATTGTACTACCTATTTCGATTTAAAAAAATTCAGGTGAAAACAATATGGCTTCTGCCAAGACTGAAAAATTTTGGACGTGGAATTTAGTTTAAAACTGCCATTTCAATGAAAAGGCTATTGCTTATGTTGGTACTGCTACCATTGCAATTGTTGACAGACCTAAACAGAGTATTAGGATTTTTTCACATACAGTGGTTGCTCTCTACCTTTTAACTAGCATTCTTGTACTTATTAGTGCTAGCTTGTACTACTGCATCAAATAATGAGCCCAAAAGGGTCATTTATCTGCCCTTTACTATTTTGAGTTGAAATTGGGCTGATTTTGCAGAATTTGGTAAAATCCCGCCAGATATTTCAAAAGACAAAATAGATTGTTTGCCAATTTTGGTCAACTAATTGGAGCATTCAGAAGATATTGATGTGTTGAACTTCCAAGTTGACTAAAAATTGCCGAGTTCAAAACCTTGCTCATGACAGACACTCTGTTATGCATTTTATTTAATTTAGTTCTCTCTTGCATTTTGCTATTCATCCTAGTTCTTCCTGTACACAATGCATCTTTTATTACTCTTAACTTATAATTTGACTTCGATTATTTTTCTTTTTGTTTGTAGGGGGATGAAAATGTTGGGGTTGCCCTTCTGACTTATCCTGTTTTGATGGCTTCTGATATTCTTTTATATCAGGTGGGTTTCAGTCTCCGCGGCACAGAATATTGGGTCATGCTCAAAATTCTTATCTTTATGGATATGCTGTTTCATCTGGATTGTGTTCTTGCATTTTATTTTTAGACTTTGAAAAGAAAAATTAGTCCTCCGTTTTGAATTATTGAAATATTGGTTCATCATGATTGTTATGACAGTACACATAACAGATTGAATGGCAAACGGGTAGCACTTTTATGTGTGCTTTCTTGACTTCACATGTTGATGATTACCCTGAATATGCATGTATCTTATTAATTGCAGCATTCCTCTGCAGTCTGACTTTGTCCCAGTTGGCGAGGATCAGAAGCAACATCTAGAGCTGACTCGAGAGCTGGCTGAGCGTGTTAATTATATGTATGGTGGAAGGAAGTGGAAGAAATTGGGAGGGTGAGAAACATGTGAATTCAAATTCCCATGTAAAAATGCATGTATTCCTGCATAATTCATTCTGCATATGGGATTCACATATTACTATTTTTGTTCATTTCTTTAGGGAGTTGACTGTTTATTTTGTTTTGTGCACAGACGAGGTGGTGCAATTTTTAAGGTGGATATTGTTCTTTAAAACCTGTTTGAGACCCTTCACTTCAGCTCGCTAAAATACTGTAATTAGTTGGAACAAGTCTTACCAATGGGTTTACTGGTGTAGGTTCCTGAGCCCCTTATTCCTCCTGCTGGAGCCCGGGTGATGTCCCTCACTGATGGTCTTTCCAAGGTTTCTGGTTTTAGAAGTGCTATTTTTTATTTATTTATTATTGCCATTCTCTTTGAATGGTTTTTCATTGTTATTTTTTTCAGCATCATATAGATCATCAACAGAAAAGAAGTATATTTAAGATCATAGAAATATACCTGCATCAAGCGTGAGAACAGGTTCAAATACTGTGAGCAGTCAGTTTGAGCTAATAATGCTAAAGGTTAAGTCTGTATTTAAGTGCTTCTCCCAGCACCATCAATTAACAGAGACTGCATAGGGTAATGACCTTTTCTTTTTAGAAATATAGACACGTCAAACTTCACCTATTCTTTTCATTCTTAACCTATTTTTAGAGATGTCATTATTTAACTTGCATCTGATAGAATTTTGAATTGAGTATTAAGAAGATAGATTGTATAGATTAGAAATAGATATAGATTAGAAGTAGAAAATGGTGGTGTTCATGTAGATAAATATACGCTCAAAAGGAAAACAATTTTAACCGCTAAAATAAAGAGTGTGACAAAAGTATAAGCTCAGCTGAAGTGCTGAAACTACTCCAATCAATTTTCATTGAAATCCACATCCAGCCACTCTCCTTACCTGTCTTCATCCTCCAAGGTTTTACCGTTAGAGTGGATTCTAGAGGGATTGTAAGTTCTTTTTTCGAACATTTTCATCCAATCCATTAGAACCAATCCGTTTTTTTTTTTTTTTGGAGGGGGGGGGGGCATTTCATTCATGTAGGACATGAATCTATTACGCATTGCTTGAAATTTTGAAGAAAACTAGTTGGGGACTTTCATTTCTTTCTGTAAAGTTATACATCATTGATATCACTGCCTTTCTAATTAGGCATCGAAGAATCAAAATCCTATACAACAAGAATTGGCCAAACAACAAAAGCTAAGATGAACAATTTTCCTACAATGAGTCTTAAATCATGTAATGATCCCACCAAAGATTTTTCTTTACATGAAATAATTCTTGTGTGATGTGGACATTGAGAATGCTCCTACTTTTCAAAATAAAATACGTTGTTCTCGTTTCCTGTTATGCAACTTCGTCTTGTCAGTATATTTATTATTAGCATCACCAATTGGACTTGGAACAACTTCTCACCATTTTCTCTCAAGACCTGTTAACCTACAATTCCCTGGAGCAAGTGCTAACCTTTTTTTTTTTATAAGTAAAATTTATAAAAAGCGCTCAAAAGGGGAGCGAGTCCCAAAGATACAAAAAGACCAAAAAACGCCTCAAGCCTTCAAAGAGGCTAAAAAGAAAACAATCTCCTCAATAGATCGATAATCTCTCCCTGAAACAATAATGGAGAACTTAAGCATAGAAATAGGCTTCTCCTTTCTATTAAAATATCTCCTATTTCTCTCGAGCCAAATGCACCACCAAATACGGAGAGGCGTAGCCCTCTAAGCATCCTGAATGAGAGCTCCAACTGAGAAACCTCTCCAAGCCTCAATCAATCCTCTAGAGGAACAAGGCATAACCCAAAGAACCCCAAACAAACCAAGCATCAAATCCCAACAAGCTCTAGCCATGCTGCAATGTAACAGAAGGTGATCAACTGTCTCCTCATCGCAAAAGCATATGTAACAATGATTGACCATCACCTGATTCCTCCTCCTCAGATTATCCTGGGTTAAAATCCTACCCAAGACAAAAGTCCAAGCAAAGAAGGCCACCTTAAGAGGAGCCTTGGAACGCCAAATAGACTTCCAAGGGAAAGGACCACCATCACCATCCGTAAGACACCTGAAAAAGGACCTCACCTCGAACCGACCCTGAGAATTAGGATTCCAAAGCCAACAATCAGAATCCCCATGAGATATCACCTGGCGATACAGTAACTCCAAAAAACGAGTGACCTCTTCAATCTCCCAATCCTGAAAGTGTCTCCTAAACTGAACATCGCATGAGATATCACCTGGAGCAGGTGATAACCTTAATGACTTGTCATAAATTTTTTTTTTTTTTTTTTTCCTGAAAAAAATAAAACAGCAAAAGGGATATCCTAAATGACAGAGTTCAGGAGACCAAATGGTCCACAATCAAGCCACTCATTCACAAATATTGAATCCTTTGGACACTTTGCACTTACTAACTTAAAGATGGGAAGCATAATAAGTATCAGAGTTTTTTACTGCATCCTTTATCCCATAATCCTTTAAGTAAAAATCACGCATTCGAACTTTATACCTGTTCATGATAAACTAACGTCTTGTAATAAATCTGAGTTCTATTTCATGAATCTTCACTACCAATTGTTCAGGAGAAATTTCTATATCACCCTGGTGGTCTCATTACTGGGTTCCTGTTTTTTTATGTTGGCAAAATGTCTTCACCTAGGCAAAGTTAAACCTTTACCTTTCTCCTTCACAATTGCAAAGAGATTTGTCTACCTGTGGTGAAGCTTTAAATATAGACCTATAACATGTACGGAGGACAGTAAGAACATATCACTATCTGTTTTCCCTGAAAAAATTAGTTTCTTCTTCAGACTCCAATAAAATAACATACCCGTGTTTCTTTCACTGGATTCCAATTCCATTGGTGTTGGTTTTCTTTTGATATGTTACTTAATTTTTGAAGTTGGCATCTCTAATTTAACCTGATACTTTTTTTGGTTTTGTTTCTAGATGTCCAAGTCTGCACCTTCTGATCAGTCTCGAATTAATTTGCTCGACCCCAAAGATGTGAGTAGGGCACTTTACCCATTTTCAACAATATTTGAAGTGTTAACTTTTTTTAGTTAAATGTAACCAGTAATGTTTTACTAGGGTTGAATATCATGCAGTACTGATGTATCATTTAATGTTGTTTGGTTATTATAGGACAGTACTATGTGCTTAGGTTACTTGGTCAGAAAATAGAACTTCCTAAATTGCATGAATGCTATTACAGCCCTTGGTATCATCCAATTTCCTTTTGTTCTACCATAATGTTCTCTTCTCACTTGATCTGAGTTTCCTTTTTTTTTTTTTTTGCTAGGTAATAGCAAACAAGATTAAACGTTGCAAGACTGACTCATTTCCTGGGTTAATACTCCCTCTTCTATTTGTGATCTTTCATTTTGTTGTCTTTTCAATGTTCTCTATGTTGAGATTTCCTGTCCAGAAACTCTATTGCTATAGTTGTTTACCATTTGGCCAAAAACTTATTTCCATAAGGTGTCATTAAATCTTCTATTTTTTTTCCTTATGGTAAATTGTATAGCTTGGAGTTTGACAATCCCGACAGACCTGAATGCAACAACCTCCTTTCGATATATCAGCTCATGACAGGCAGGACAAAACAGGTAACAAGATTCACATTTCATGATTTCCCTGATAGCGGCCGTGGGGTCTGCAGGCATACATACATGTATATGGTTGATCTTTTGCTTGTCAGAATCTTCTAATGGTTTCTGAATATTGATATGGGAAACAACTAATCATTTAGTTGAGAAAGAGTTCTTTCTTTCTTTCATTCTTTTATTTATTTATGTAAATTTATGTGCATATAACAATAAGGGGGTCTTTGTAATAGCTAATAATAAAAGAATGGAAAAAGAGAATACATGTCGCCATCCCCATTTGAGTTATGTTCTATATGTACTAGAGTTGCTCTGATGCTCTGATATATTATTAGCATTTTTTAAACCACCAGAAACTAACCACAGAAGGGTGCTGGTCAGGCTGCTTCTTTTTTTGGAGTTTTTTCCGATGCATTTTAATTTATTGATCTATGTTTGGCATCTAAATTGTGCACTCTAGTTTTCTTTTTTCCTTTGTTCTTCTTCATCCATTGCTTATTTTCATAGAGTGTTGGAAATCTGTTTCTCCGGATCTTTGCATCTTTCTCTGTCTGTGAACAGCAAGAGCTGCTGGACAGTTCTCTCTCTCTGTCTCATGTTTCTGTGGACCTATTCAGTATAGTATGAGCATATTAAAAACTCTGAATTCAAATTTTTTCCTTGATTGTATGTCAGTGGACCAGAAAGACTAGGCATCCATGGGCCTGGTGATAGAGTAATTGTATTTCATGACTTTAGACTGTTTCGATTATGAAAAAAAAAAAAATGTTTTGATTTGTTAGAGGCAATAGTACCTTCCTTGTCTGTTAAGGAAGTTTCTTGGTTTCCTCTTGCATGCTTAGGTTCTTTCTATAATAGGAATTTTTTTTTATTTCTATTTGTTGATAAAAATAATTAAAATAAGATTAAAGAGAGTATTAAGAATGAACCAACACAAGGATATACATGGTTTGGCCACTACGGCCTACATCCACGGCACACAAATCTCAAAGTTCTGCATCACTTTTATTATATTCTCTCTACTTTTGTTTACAATGACCACATCTATTTATAGGTGAAAAAATACAAATCATGGAAAATTCATTGATGGAGGATTCCTGAAATCAATCCCATAAATCACTCCTATCAATATTCTATCAAGGCTTAAATCATGATATTCTCCAACACTGTTCATTTTAAGGTTTCCTCACGCTTGCTTATATTCCTATAAGAAAGCTTTTTGCTCCCTACATTGAAAAGAAACATACATGATTGAAACTGGTATACCTGGAGTTTGACAAGGCTTATTAAGATGTTTAGAGCTCGAAATTAAGGTATTTAAGGAAAGGATGGAAGGATAGGTGAGGATTGCTTGTTCAAGTCTGAGGCCAGCCCCATTTTCCAAATAATGTCAAATGTTAGGTCTGTACCTAATTCGTCCCTCTCACAAGACCATTGACTATTAGGAAATTTTGGTTTGAGCAACTGAGATTTACTAATAGTGAAATCATTCTATGGTTACTTTGTAGGTTCTGGTGGTGGGATTTCCTCTGAAAATCATCTAAAATTTTGTAATTCCGTTTAAAGTGGCTTTCTGTCTTTGGTTACCAACACTTACAAGATCCTCTGGTGGATAATTACTGCCAAGAAATCAGATTATTCCCAATTTTCTCCCTACAAATTAGATGGTGACTGGGTCAACACTTTGGTCATATCTGACCTTTCTCGTCAATTATTTGGTTTTGTTTTCACATCTGTGGTGTGACTGGTGTATTGGTGTACGCTTACTTGCTTTCAAAGATGAGGATTAACTGATTTGTAACTTGAAAGGACTGTGTTAGAAAGGGTAAATCTTGCGGAAATTGTCCTGGTTTGCGATCTTTTGGTCTCTTTATAAAGAAAGGAATAGGAAGACTCTCTGGTTATTGGAGGTGGCTGTGGGTATGATCAAAAAATGGATTACAGATATCAGGTGACTTTTGACTTTCCTGCATAGGATAATTTAGAGGAGTCGGGTTGTTGCAGATGTTCTAGAGCCTTGACAGTTTGACATCCTTATTGCTAGTTCTTTCTGTTTTCTGATGGGGTATAGGAATCTAATTTATGTAGTCCCTAAATATGTATAGGGTTGCATGTAGTCTTATAAAATGTTATGATCTTGGAGAATCCTATACTATCTCATATATCTTGTGGGAAAGTTCAAGTCAAGCTTTAGATTTAATCATGGCCTTGCTTATGGAGATGAATAATATATAAGCGAGGGTCGTTTATCTGAATTAACTACCAGCTCCTCACTTGTTAGTCTTCTACATTCTGTGTAAAAGTATTATTATTTTCCTTGAGAATCCGGTGCTTTAATTTGCAATTTTTCGAGCCCAAGTGAGTGTCAGAGTGTACAATCCTAATTCCTAAGCGAGCGAGCAAGCTGGCAAGAGCTTAATCTGATTTTATTATCAAAGGTCTAAAAACGTTAGGAAATATTAATTTACATATTTGTGGCAAAGTTGGAATACCAATTACTAGGGCATTTTTTTTTTTTCTCTTTATAAGGAGGGTAGAATATAAAAATTAATAAAAAATAGAAAAGATATTTAAAATACATGTACAAAATTTAAATAAAAAATAAATATTAGCCTCAAGACTTTTTGTGAGCACGTAGCAAAAACGTGGGTTTAGGTCTGGGCTAATATAAATTAGAGCTCTGAAACGAGTGAGATGGTAATTGATGATAATTAGGGTTGTTCATTAGGTTTCTATATAGAACTATGCTATCACCAAACAGCAAGTACCAGTGAATTTCTTCTTGTATTTGTTTCGTTGTTTGAATACATTTGGGTTTATATTTGATCTTCGTTGTAATCCTATTTTTGTTTGAAAAACATTAGTCTCGTGTGTTGATTCTGGTAAGTTATTTGAATTTAAAATTTTATCTGGTTAAATGGGCCACTTCTGTGTTAGTCAATGTGGGATTAGAAAGTGACAATTCATCTGGTAATTCTGACCATTCCAATTAGCTTTATCATCGTCCAAGCGTGTGTGTTTTAAACAATTCTCTATTGCAGGAAGTTGCACAAGAATGCCAAGATATGAATTGGGGCACATTCAAACCCCTTCTTACAGATGCTTTGATTGATCATCTACATCCCATCCAGGTTTTCACTTCTATATATGATACCTTTTTTTATAGTATTTGTAGGGAGAGTGCTAATATACCTGCAATTTGTTTCTATAAGTTGCCAACTGTTACCATGTGATTCTGAAGTATTTAAGGTGCATTGGTTGTTGTGACTGAGTACTAGATTTAAAACTTTGGCTTTCCGGAAGTCATTGCTTAGTATATTCATAATTGGCTACTTGGTGCATTATTTCAGGATTGCTTGCTAAAATCAAGTCAAAAGTTGTAATTTTCCCACCATGTTTATAGCTGATGGCTTGTGCTAAATGGTCTTGGGTCGTTATGCTAAAAGTTAACAAGTATTGCAGTCATTGAGATGCACACATGCAAAGGCCCCAGACCCGGTGTTGGTTCATTTTTTTAGTTCTAAATAAAGTTCATATGCAGCTCTAAGCTGCATTCTTTAAGTAAGGAGTTGGGAGTTGCTTATGTTGTTGAAACTAACGAAAACAAAATGTTACTACTAATAATATTATGTAAGTTGTCAGAAACTTCTTTTGCGTACTCAATCAAGGAATTGTGCTCCATTCACACTTCTGATTAAATCATGCTACTGGTGGCAATGTTAAACTCGATATCCACTTGCAATGTTCTCTGGTCTGAAGTAAACAATATAACCAAGGAATTGGGTTCTGCTACACATTTTGATTAAATCAAACAAGTGGTGGCCGTGTTAAAGTTGGTTTGCAGGTGCAATCTTCTCTGCACTGAAGTGAACAATATAGCCATGACTTTGGTGGGAAACTTGGTGAAGTTTCAGCCTTAACAAGCTTAAAGTTCTGTCTTACTCCAAAATGTTGATATAAAACTTAAATAGGTTATTTGGTTCACATTAGAACTTGAAATTGAGTCAATACAGCTGTTTTTTTTTTTATTAAGATACCAAACTTGATAGCACATGTTGTTGCATCCATTTATAGATTGTAGTTGCTTTGTTATGCGTGCAGTTGCAAAGGCACAACTGTGTTGTATTTATTTTTGTAGTTGCATGTTGATTGTATATAATTGTGCAATTGGGTATCAATTTACTTTGTCTTTTGTTCATAATTATGTATACAACAACAACAACAACCAAGCCTTTTCCCAATTACTTGGGGTTGGTTACATGAATCCAATGTTCCATTTCGCTCTATTTAAGGCCATAGCTTCAATCAGTCCACATGCTATCATATGTTTGCAGAGTTTGTTCATAATTATGTATATTGTACATATATGTGGATAATTATTGAGCTTCTTATGTTCATGTTATTGTATGGCTCTTTGAAAAATATGGAAAACTCCACACATTTCATTGATTGGAACCACTGTAGCCACTCTAGATTTCTCCTGTCAGAAATTTCCCCAAGCCTCCAACTGATAATAATTAGATGGACTTGAACTGTGTAAAGATTCGGCAAGTTTCAGTGTATTATTTAAAATGGGAACAGGTCAAAAGAGTTAGATATCTTAATTTCAAATCGATGAGGTATTGACATGGCCTTAAGCTTTCATGAGTTTTACCCAGCCTAGTCATCTGAATGCTAATTGCTGATATCCAATTGAATGCTAGTTTCATCGTTGCATTATCTACTTTTGCAGATTCGCTATGAGGAAATAATATCTGATGCAGCTTATTTGGATGAAGTTTTGGCAGACGGTGCCAGAAAAGCTGCAGATATAGCTGATGTTACTCTCAGTAATGTTTACGAGGCAATGGGATTCTTGCGGAGATGAGCTGAATCATTGCTATTAGAAGAACTTGTGTACGGTTCAGAAGAAAACAACCTTAAACTTACTTTTGGATCACTAACATCAGCCATGAGTTTTGGGACCATGCCAAGGAATTCATTCTTGACAGGAAACTAAACAAAGGTAATTTATCAGAAAAGCCCACATTCTTGTGATGCATTCACGCCGACCCTCCTGTTCCAGATAGGTGCACTTTCACATACCTTTAAGTTTGTTGGATCTGGTCGTCTCAGTTCATGTCTTCCCATTTTATCAGAATAGGTCATAAGTTATTTTTGCTTCTATGTTTGTTGGTAGTTCCAATACTATTTCAACTGGCCTGCCTATCATTACACAGCCATTTTAGGTTTTCTCCAGTGCCACATGATTGTGAAACTGGCTTCAAATGCAAGTCTTTTAGCTGAATGATAGCTGTCTTGGCAGCCCTCATTTTTCCAATGTTGTTGAACTCTTGATTAATTATATATGTTGATTTAGCGCATAATCGAGTTTGCTCATTTTCTTGTTTTTTCGTTCCTTCATGTATGCTCAAATATGTCCAAGTTATTGTGAGTGTTGACAGCTTCTAGGTTAAGGTTGGGTCTGGATTCTCATCAACCTCCTAGCTTTCTTGATCTGGAATAAGGATTCCTTTGACTATCTATACATTTACTGAAACACTACTAGAGCACATGGCAGTTTTTTTTTAAAGTATTACATGGTTGAGAGCATAACATATATAAATTTGAATAAGTTCCCGAAACTTTCTAAATGTATTACCAGTCAGTAACAACACGTGTTTCTTATTTGGAAGTGTTGAGCATCCAAAAATATGAGTCACTAGCAGGTAAGGGTTCAAGCCTCTGCCTTTTCAGGATTCATTAATTTTATTGAGAAGTTTCTAATAAGATAACTCAAATCTGCATTAGAAGGGTCAAATCAATGGTTTGATCGACTCAAAATTTGTGGATTTCGTGGATTTTGCTCTAACCTGTTCAATCTGTGTGGCTTAAAGGATGAATTAGATATCCTAGTTCCTACATTGCTCCAATTAGATGCTAAATCCCTCACTATCTGTAAGACTTTTTGCCAAATGAAATATGATGATCATCAGGTTGAATTATATGAATTCTGCTAGATCAAAAAGTCATGATTGTGGTACATTTCTTTTATGAGAATTTTTCTGATAAGAGCATTGACAACACGCTATAATGAGCTGACCGGTGGAAATAAAATACAAGTTTGTGGTGAAAAACTTCTTGATTAGGCTCTAGCTCTGAACCTCTTCTTTTTCCTTCTCAATGTGTTTCAGGAAAGGAGTCTTTAATTCAATATTGAAACGAAGAAGAAAAAACTAGATCATTTTTCATCGTATGCTGGGACTTCCAAAGTAAGATGTAGGGAGCACTGTTTTTGTATTTCACTTTTGTTTTGCAACCTGAACCTAGCATTACTACTGAGGTTTATTGTGTCTGTTGTGGATTTCTTATCAACAAAAGAGATAGTGACGGGGAAAAGAAGGAATATCAATCTGTCCACTGACCAGAAAAAAACATGGAATCGTTGTTTGATCCTATTCCACCCATCCACACCACAGCTTTTTTTTTCTTTTACATAGGAGGGTGCGGAACCTTTTGGCGAGATAGTGAGAGGTCAATGGTACTGCAAGTTCTCTCTCTCTCAACATTTTTGTTGAATTGCTGAGAGATGGACAGAGGAACATGATGAGGACCACAATCAACCATTTCAATCTTTGTCGATATTTTACACTCTAGTTTTGCTCTTTTGGTTACTTCAGGATTCTTATCTCTGCTTGATACCTCCCGTTACTGTTATCCTTTCACGCGAAACCCTTTTCAAAATGACCACGGTCTTAAAAGAGAAACACACATTGGCATTCCACCATGAAACTAAACTTAAACCTGGTTTTCTGTTGATATAATCCACCGTTTCATTAAGAACCAAGAACCACAATATTGGAGGAGCATTGCACCAATTGATACAAGTACTAAACGAAGCGAGAGAGTGCCATGAACTCGCGCCCTTAACGCGTTGAATCAAGATCTTAATATCACAGCGCTTTCAATCCAGTGTGAATGAGGTGGTGAATTCAATTAGAGCACCAATTATACTGTGTCACAATCTAGAGAATCTGCATTCACCAAATTCTTGTTATTTTGTCGCAAGAACATATACGTATATATATAAATTTACCAGCATGTTTGTTCCTGCAGCAAAATGTACTAATATTGATGTAAAATGAATTGCTTCTTGCATTCATAGCCAAACACAAAATAAATCATGGACATTTCATCATTTTACATCCAGTTAATGAAACTGAAAAGAAAAAGAAATGACCTGAAAGCACATATGATATAACAAGCAAAACAAGGTTTCACATTTAAGGGGATCAAAGTCATCATCATGTCTTTCAAAGAGCACAACGTTACAAAAATTTTTTTAAAAATGTCACTCATATATAGTGATATATATCTTTCGGACACGGAAAGGAAGGTAACTTGACGAGCAAACACTAGGCATATTACATGGTGGCTGTGCTAAAAGCCACTTAATTGAATTTGAATTTGAAGCTCAAAAAATTGCAGCAAAAAACCACACATTTCTCACAGAATATGAAAACCCATAGAATGTTACAAATCGATGTACAGTTTTGCAGACAGGAAGGTAGGTGCAGTGAATCAAGGTACCAACCCGACGTTATCCCTGAAATATTCATGCTGAAGAGCACTCCTGGCCGTGATTCTTTTGCTCGGATCCAGGCTCAGCATTTTCTAGAAAAGGAACAGAAAAGAGTTAGCAATAGGAATATCAAGATCGTGACAAATGTTCTTTAAATCGGTTCGTAAACATTTATTCATTTGCGATTGTCCAAAAAGGAGAGATGAGATCAAGGCCATAAAAACTTGCTAAATGATGAACGGTGGTTAATATTTGAAAAGAGTAGTGTGTCAAAAGGAATAATTAAGAACTTCAACATTTTAATTTATACTGATTCCACTTATTGACAAGTTTTCACACTGGTTTGCGTTTGGGCTTTTATCCAAACAACATTCTAAACAAATAGAAAAGTAGCTAATTTTTCAGTAGACAAGATACCATAGCAAGCGGTGATCAGTGATATTGCAGCCAAATAAAGAAGTCATAGAAGATCTTTTACAAAAAGGTGGTCGAAGCCGCAATGTCAAAAATAGCCTTCTTACGACAAGGCACTAAATGACAAGTTCTATAACACGTATGGATGCTTTGTCATTATCAACTTGGCCCTATACAGATGCAAATTTAAAAATGTATCAAATTCTAAACTTACACTAAGAAGATCGACACCAGTTGCATCAAGATTTGGGACCTCGGTTGCAAGGTTCTGCAAAGTAGAGTGTACTGTTTAAATCTTTCTGTTATATATATTCTGAAAATTTAATAAATAAGAAGATCTAGGAAATAACACATCATGCTAAATCCAGTCACCTTGGAAGACCACTTTGGAAAGGTAGTTTTAAAATCAGGCAAAGACTGCACTCCGGGCCATGTTTCCTCCTTGGGAGTACCCAAGATTCTTCACGGGAAAACAATTCATAAATAAAATGGAATCAATTGCACAACACAGAGAGATAACTAGCTTCATTAAAGCAAGGTTACACTATATTCAATCATAAATTTCACTTAAATTTTTTTAAAACAATCGTATAATTGGCAAAAGGTTATTCTTTTAAGTTTTTCAGCATGTCTAATGTGAACAATTAGAATAGAAAGAACATCTACATGTCAAAAAAATCCGACAGGTGTAAGTTTCCCTACTATCCCCCCTCTTTTCTCTGATTGAAAGGTTTTTTTTCTTTTTCTTTTTCTTTTTCTTTTCTTTGCAAGAGAACAAGAACTTAACAAATTAAGAGCTGCGGCCAATTCAAATGACACTCTTGAGGTACAAACAATTCCAGTTTCTCCAAACATCATAAAAAAATTAACGGATATAAGATGAAACCAATCAGACAGGCTTTCTCTCCACTGAAAACTCTGTGCATAGGGTTCTATGAAAACTTGTAAATAGAAAATGAAAATGGAACTCTAAAGATATTTTGAACCTACCAAGAGCCTTTTAGCCCAGAGGTACCTAGGTGGTTTTATTATCAAGGTGGGAGGTTCAGCCCCAACATGTTGGCCCCTTAAGTTATCCTGTGATAATGTTATCAGAGATTGTCACCCAAAGAGGAGGGAGCCAAAAAAGAAATCTTGAACCTTTTGGCAACTGTTTTCACGATTCAGTTCCTGATAATTCTGATTTGATGGCATTGTTTCATTCCAATATTTAGCAGCATTAAAACTTAAAGATATTCTAAAAAATGTATAGTCACTTGTGTAATGACTCGAATAAATTCAGGTGAGCTTGAGAGATTGACTCGAATGACCAGGCTCAAAGTCAAATAACAGGAGATGTGTAATCTCAGGTCTTAACTACTTATTCCAAAACAATAAGCTCTAGATGAGCACATTTGGTTGCTGGTCACTTGAAAATGTTAAAATTTTGGGGAGAAATTTTATTCATTCAGTCACTCGTCTATTTAATTTTACTATGCAAAGACAATTTAGATGGGAAGTACTGAGCCCAAGCTCTATCAGAGTTGTCATTCGATGGTTTTCCCTATTTCCATGTCAATTATTAACTTAATCCCTTCTAATGCAGACTTGTAATGGGGTGCATTTTAGTAAAAATAAACAGAATTTAATGATTTTGAGCCTACTGAAAACTTAAAAAGGGCATCCTTTGCCAATTTCCCGATGAAGAGCTGCAAAAAACAAAAGAAATTTGTCATAAGAGCTATAAAACCTGAAAATCTTGAATAGTTGATCAATTTCAGAGTCCCCAGGAAACAATGGCCTCTGGTTCACCATCTCAGCAAATATACAACCCACTGACCACACATCAACAGGAGTAGAATAGTGACGGGATCCAAGGAGTATTTCTGGTGCCCTGTACCATAGAGTCACTACCTGGGGAAAACACCAATGAGCAACAGAGATGGAAATTATAAATCGACTGAAAAGGCTAATTTGCTTGTTGATACATGAATATACTGAGATACTGGAAAAGTGTACAGTTGAGTGCAATGAGCATTTTTTTCTTGAAAAGCTGAGGTTTAACAAGAAATTTCAGTGTTTTATTTCCCCAGAAAACATTATGAGCTTTACAACTGAGAGTGCACAAAAAACTGTTGAAAGCAGTAAACCACACCAAACCAAATCGAACCAAACCAAACGGTCTGATCCAGTTCTATGATGGAATAGTTCAGTTCCGGTTCTACAAATTAAAGAACTGTTAATACACTTGTACAAACTTGATTGGTAGAAAATATAGTGTATCATAGACAAGAATACATATGATGATGATCATCATATATATATATATAAATATATATTGCTATGTATAGTACATAAATATACCATAGAACCAAATCGATCACCTACAATTCGGTTCAGTTCCAATATTTTTGGAACCGTTAAAACTGGTTTGGTCCTGGTTCATTCCTAAACCAGACCAAACTGAACCGTTTGCCCCCTATTTAAAACCATGACTCACATGTAGGTGAGGATATATTAGGGCATTTAGGCCCTGAAGAAGAATGCTACTTTATCAGAATCACAGTCAACACACTGCCATTACAAGCACCTTAGAGTTGTTCGCAGTTTGTTTTTACCTGTGACTTGCAGACTTGAAGAGAAATGACCTGAATTGCCTCATCACTCGTGTTGATTTTACTTTTTTGTATGAAATGTATGAAATTTTGATTATTTTATTCACTCTTCATAGTTTGAGGCTTAACGTTTTTGTCTAAATACATATTTATATATATGTGTACATATATACATATATGTTGAATACTATAATTTGAGAACATTCACATGAACACAGAAAGCCTGGTGTGAGGTGGTGTTGTGGTGATAGTACTCAATATGGAAACAAAATATAAACATCCAGGGAAAGCTCAACCTGATGCACACTAATACCTCGTGCGTAAACGTCCTGACAGGAATACCAAATGCTCTAGCCAATCCGAAGTCTGCAAGCTTTACTGAATTTTTACCACAATCTATCAGCAAGTTCTGAGGTTTCAAATCTCGATGAAGAACTCTATGAGAATGACAATATGCGATGCCACGAAGAATTTGATACAGAAAATTCTGAAAAATGAAGACAACCAAATAATGTTTATAGTTCTTTAAATCAGAAGCCAAATAATGAAAGAACTGCTAAAGGAACATTGCATTTTATCTTTTTGATCACTATAGAATTCATCATAAATAATAGCAAAATGTATTTAAGTGTGGGGGTCACCTGCACTACCTGATAATTCTTCAGTTTTGGTTTTTGCTTTGCTAACTCTCGGTTGTAGACACAAAGTTATGATGATTTGCTAAGAGAATAACTGTAATTACTTGAAATTTGTATATTATTACTAAATGAACTAAAATTATTTCAGTAGCAAGAAACTCTACAAAGGATGAACTTGAACTCCAGGGCTATTCATCTATAAAGGAAAAGTCAAAATGTTTTTGTATACATTGCTGATTTAATGGAACCAAAGATGATCATTTATGTATCCACCCAGTTTGGGACAAGCCTCATATTAAAGCACAGTATGCACAAACCTCTAAGGGGCAGGAAGGTATCACTCACTTTTATAAGACGTAGATCCTTTGAGAACTCAGGACATGAATCCATGTGCTTCTTCAGATCCAAGTCCAAATACTCAAAAACCAGATACAGACGCTTCTCACTGTGCACTACATCTTGTAACCTGTCAAACAAATATATATGAAACATTTTTAGTACAGAGCTCTGTACAAGTATTAAAGAAGAACAGTTAAACAATGTACACATTTCCAGCAATCAAAAGCGAACAACTTCATACCAAGAATGATATTTTCCAGACTTTACTGGGGGAATAAGTACAAAATAAATCACATTTCTCAGGAAAATGTAGCAGTTTTTTCTATCTGCCACCAAAAAAAAAAAAAAACAAGGATAAAAAAGAAGAAGAAGAAAAAGAACAAGAACTGTTCTTTGGAAGGTGCACCAATTATAGTTTTTAGTACAGGTGAAGATGCACACGGCACATGCAGATACTAAATGTTCTTTGAAAGTCCAATAAGGAATTGGAAATGCACAGCACTAAATCTTGCTACTACTCCTGCACCAAGCTTTTGGTACCAAGACTGGTACTATCTTTGTGATATCCTAAGTTTGTATTAGGACCGTAATCTGTGCTTAATGACTTTAATTGAGCTTAGTGACTTTTAATTATACTTAGCGACTTAATTTTTCTTTCCATTATCTAATTGCTCTGTTATGACTTTGTGGTATATGTGTTTTATATGGGATATGGGAACTTTGACATGGGAAAATTTTCATAACTTTGCATTAGTGGTAGAGGGTTATGAAATAAAGAAGAGTTGGAGGACTATATGCTAATTTTACCAACTTTGGGGGCATGTGTTTTCAGTCTTCACCATGTAAAAGGTGTAAACAACCATATGGTCCGCACGAGTCATCTCTTACATATATGCGCTGGAAAGGATAAAAGAAAAGAAAAGAAAAAAAAAGAGAGAGAGTTGGCCGAGAGTTAGAGAGGGAAAGAGACAGAAAGAGAAGAAGAGAAAGAAGGAGAAGAAGAAAAGAGGGGAAGCTGTAGGACTTTAATCACTTCATCCATTTTGGTAGGGATTTTCTAGCTTTAGCATGTTTGAGTGGTTTTCTTCTAAAGCTTTTATTGACTGCTGGTCTATTTGTTTTTAAGTTACCATAAAAGCACATATCCTCAAAGGTCATTTTTGGTGACTTGACGCAAACTGAAGTTTTTACTTGTTTTGATTAGTCTAATTGTTTCAAAGATAAACTGTAGCTATGGACTGCTAGTATGGTGGATATTTTGAGAAATGGTGAAACTGATTTATTCATGCTATGTACTTGGGCTGAGTGACAAAAACGATATGAACAGTTGTCTGAACCGAATTGAAAATTCGAAAGGGGTGAAATAATTGGGACAGGGTCTGAGACACGTGGAAGACCCTTGTTTGGGTATGGAGAGCTGAGACCACACTGATTGGAAGGGGAAGCGACGGTGGGGGACACTCTCGGTGCACACAAACTGTTCGGATTGCTATGATTGGGAATGAAACGAAAAGGAAGAAGGGAAAGAACTGTGAATTGCAGTGGGTTTAGTAGCAATTATTTTTGTGAAGTACTTTATTTGGCAAAACTCATTGTTGGTCTATTCCTACTTCAATAAAAATATCATAAGCATTCTAAACCTCATATATGCCATTATTAGATTTTGCCTATTGGGCGTCGTCTCATTCCTTAATATTTCAGGTGCTGATAATCTGGACGGTGTGAAACGGGGTGCTAGCCATGGGCTATAAACTGTTTAGTGTTGGATTACTTTTGTGTAACTTCTAGTGTACTCACTATACTGAAATGATGTTTTAGAAGTGACAGTTGAAGGAATACTTGTTGTGCTTGGGTTCGTAACTATGTATAGCATGTGTAAAGTGTGAAATCCTGTAAAATACCAACTTTGTCCTTTGGTGTGTGCAAAGGCTGTTTCTTATCTCCTATATGTTGAGACTTACTCAGTAAGTTTGTTGTTGGTCTTGATGTGGTGATCTATTACCACTTAGATAGTGTCTTTGTGCATGGTTCTTAATCATGCATATGGTATGATATGTTGTAAATAAGGCTGAATTAGAACAGGTTTCGGTTGAGTTCATGAATGTGAAACTTCAAAGCAGGGAAACATATTCACACAAAGAGAACAGGGGACTGCACGGTCGACTGTGCAAGACTCCGGACCCCATATAACAGTTGAATGTCCTCAGGGTAGAGTCGACTCGTGGGTGTGGTCTAGTGTTTTTGGGTTCAGTTGGAACAGTCAACTGTAGCATCTGCATTCTGTTATGTAACCTTGTTTTGTTGTAGCAGGCTCTTGTTGATCTCACCTTAAACCAGCTACTTAATTCTAAGGGCGATGAACCCTTTTGACCTGAATAACTTTTTGGGTTGAGCTCATAAAAAGAAACGAGTGATTTTGAGGCTAGTTAAACAATAAAGCTTGTTTTTGTTTCCTTTAAACCTCCATTAGTCACACCTACATTTTGGGTCGTGACAATCTTAGTCCAGTATTGATATTCTAATAATAATAATGAACGTCTGATTTTCCATTTAACTAAGATGCAAAGAACAAACATTCAGTTGGTAAGAGTAGATTGCCTCATGAAGTCCTATATATATATATATATATCTTTAGTTTGCTCGTCTTCAAAATATGCAAACAAAATATAACAATTATAGGATGATGATAAAATCCAAGAAACAAAGATGAAAAGCTTAATTTGATATCATCAATGTGCTGTACAAATCAGCAGATCTAAGTTGGATCTCCCAAGACAAGGATGCAATGCAATTTTCTTCTGCATCAAGTGTACTAACAACATGAGTTCGTGTCTGACATGTACATACATTCAGGACATGGATATCAATAAGTAAAGCCAATCATTCGTCTGTGATCTTAGTTGACACATTCTCAAAATAACAAGAGAAACATATCTTTGCTATATACCTGACAATGTTTTCATGCTGCATCTCTTTCAATAGAGAAATTTCTCTGATGGCTGTGCTTGGTACACCCTCATCTTCCTGCTCCAAGCGGATTTTCTTCAAAGCTATTGTTTCATTTGTTGCAAGGTTACGGGCCTTGTAGACCACACCATAGGTTCCCTCACCAATCTTTTCAACCTTTTCATACTGCAAAATACACAAAGATCACAATCAGTTCAACACAAACATAACTGGTAAATGAAATTTTTCCAAGAAGAAATTAAACTCCTTTACCTGCTCCATCTGGTACAGGTTAAAGACTAACTGATCAGTGAAAAACTCTAAAGCTGAGCAGAAAGGCAACAAAGAAACAACAGTTTCAGAAAAGTACACGAATACCAAATCTACATGTGTGTGCAGTTGACTGTACACAGGCAACCAAACAAATAGCAAGAGAATTGATATGTGAAATGGAAACAGGAAATGCCACAAAGTAGTAGACAACAATAATTCACCAATAATAGAGTAACATGTGGTTTAATCAATATATAAACAGTAAGGAGTAACTAAACTAGTCCTGAATTATTGACAGCCAACAGAAATGGATCAATTCCATAAACCATTCTCATTGCCAGATTAACATCCACTAAAAGCTCTCTCCCTCTCCTGCTAACTTTCCCCTTCACAAAAGAAATGCACAATTTTGGTTGTTTTACTCTTACAGTACTACAATTGGCATTTTGGTAGTTAAAAGTTTTCGTCCAACAGCCAATAACATGTGTCACTAGATTAGATTGATTGCATTAGCTTTTACAAAAATTATAACAAAATTTTCCACTTCTGTTTATAACAGTAAAAGCAAAAATGCAGGAATATCTTTTACTACATTATAGTCAATTCAACAAAATTGATACAATGAACACTAGATTTGCATTAAAAAAAACTATAAAAAGAACTCACGTCGCTACTAATAATGCCAACACAGGAAACAAAGTGCTTGATTGGATATCAGTATAGTACTGATTATATCCACTACATTAAATTGACTGCATTTGCTTTTACACAAATGACAGTAAATTGTTCTACTTCTATTTATAACAGTAAAAGCAAAAATGCAGGAATATCATTTAATACATTATAATCAATTCAACATAATTGATATGATGAACACCTGACTTGCATATAAAACTATACAAAGGACTCATGTCACTACCAACTATGCCAAGAAATGCAATAAAGTGCTTGATTTGAAGATCAGTATAATGCTGATGATAAATTAAGCCATTCAACACCTTATATCTCTTCAGTTCTGATCTCCAAAAGGATGGCGTGCAATGACGCAGAGTCAAAATTCATTATCAGTATCAAATTATCAATGAACAACACTCCCTCTTCAAGCAGAGTTCTAGCATTCAGATTAGTACCAGTATCAAATTATCAATGAACAACACACACGTTTCAAAGAGATTTGTAACATTCAAATTGGGTATTCAACTATAAATTGAACACACATTACACCTACATAAACGTGTGTGTGTGTGTATAGAGAGAGAGTATTGTTATATACGAAAGCAATTTAATGAACATATTTGGTGAGAGAGAGAGAGAAACGAGTATGAAGATGCTTACATTGAAGACGATTACAGAGTGAATGGAATCGAGTGATTTCGATGATGAATGAGAGACAGCTTTTGCATCTAGCGATCACTCTCAAAACCCTAGCCCTAACCCTAACCACTCAACCACATTTCTTCTCCCAGTCAACCATCGGTCACTAGCAGTTCAGTTGTAGTGGAACATTTTACTGACCTTTAACATTTTCCAATGACATTTATAGGCTTTTGGTGGGAGGAAGAAAAAGTGGAGGGAAGGGAAGGGAAGGGAAGGGAAGAGTGATGGAGAAGGGAATGTCTGATTCCCTCCTTTTTGTTTGGTTAAAGTAATGTTGCATTTGAGATCATTGAGTTTGAAATAATTTAATTTAATTTAGTGTTAAACTAAATTTATTTCATATTAAAATATTATTTTTACTATTATAATTTCCTTGATGATTATTAATTTTTTTTAGCATATTTGAGATTTAGAGAGAAACAATTTGATGGACATGTTAACATTAAAATTGTCTAGTCACTTATAAAGTTTCGAGTATTTATCTATTAACTCATTGTAATACATAATGCAAAATGCAAAGTTTATTGTAAGGGCTCTTATTATGACATTGCAACGAATTCTATTGTGTAATTTGTTATCAATCAAACAACTAAAAATATAAATCCACGCAAAATTACTCTCAGTATAGCTTCTTCCTTTTAAGAATTAATTGATATAATTACTCCTCACGTAGGTACAATTGTCCCTAAAAATATTCTTACATAATTTTGTCATATTTTTATATATTTATTTTTGTGAAAAAAGAAAAAAAAGTTCTTAAAGGAGTGGGGGAATATATATAAAAGTAAAGTGCAAATATTGCATTCATTCCCACTTTATATACTAATAAATGCAGGTATTTGTGTGTGTATATCTTGTTTGGTTAAAAATGTAAAATGGTTAAGTGATGTGTCCTACTCCGTAATTCTTAAAGGCACTTGAACTAAAGCATTTTGATTTTGATTGTTGTTGGATTTTTTATTTTTTTTTAGTATTCCACTAAAAATATATTAAAACACCTCTAATCACTATATTTGTATTGTTATTTTATGCAAAAGAAAGTTACTGTCATACATCAAAGTGGGTTTAAAACATCCACAACATATAAAAATCCTTGTCCTGTATATTTGTCTATGTGTGTGATGTGTGGGTGTTTGTGTATGTGTGTGTATATTTTCAATAAATTTCACGTACAATTCATTGGTGAGAGGGCACTCAATTGAACTGGAAGTGTGTTTTTATTGGTAACTCAAAATTGACAGTATGAGTTGTACAAAGACAACGCGTTGTGGTTGGCTTCAGTGACGCAATCGAAGGAAGAGACAATACTCTGTTGCTCAATTGTTTCGAATGGTCAGGGTTTTGGTTCTCATGAATGCTAGGTTGGTTTCCAGTTCTCGTTGTCAAAAAGAGTAGATTGGCAATATAAATTTGTTATTTTTTGTTACTTCAGTCATGTTTAGAATTATTAGATTGACATTATGTATTAATAAACTTATTAGTTTTTTTTATTTGTTATTTTTTGTTACTTCAGTCATGTTTAGAATTATTAGATTGACATTATGTATTAATAAACTTATTAGTTTTTTTATAAAAAAAAAAAACTAAAATGGAATATCTACAAAGCCAAGTCTTTGATTTTTGTTACATTTGCTTTGAGGAATGGAAAAATTGATGAAAAGGAGAGGGGAAGGGATGAACAAGGCATTTGTAAGGAAGGGAATGTGTCTCTCTTATTTTTCATTTGGTTGGATGGAATGGAAAGCAAAAATGATGGATGTGGTGGCTCATTTTTTTTTTCTTGGTTAGAAGGAGTGAGAGATAATTTTATAGTATTATTTTTACTAATATACTCTCATTTTATAAAATTACAAATATATATATATATCCATTCCAAATTATGCAACAAGAAGGTTAAAAATGAAATTTTAAAACGTGTTTGATATTATCTTATTTTCTCTTTCCTCTTCCCCCAATTTTGGGTGGATAGAAAATTACAAATAAATAAGGGATGAAGCATCCCTCCCTGCTTCCTCTCTATTTTTCCTTCTCTTCAACCAAATACAAAAAAACTTCTTTAATTCCTTCTCTCATTCATCCCCCTCAATCTATCCCTCTAACCAAACATAACATTTGGGTTGACAATTTGGCTTGAATCGTTTTTAGAAAATAGTATGCTCCTAGACGAAGTAGAGGCAAATATGGTGTAATAAATTATAACTCAGTTTATGTGGATAATGCTATGTTTGGTTGGAGGGAAGGATTGAGGAGGGATGGATGAATGTTTTCGTGTTTAGTTAAAGAAAGGGGAAAAGAGGAAGGAAACGAGGATTCCTCCTTTCTTTATGATTTTTTATCGGCCCAGTTTTTTTTAAGGAAGAGAGGAGAGAGAATGATAAATCTAATTTTCAATTTTAACCTTTAAAAAAAAAAATAGATATATACCTTTTATAATTTTATACAATGAGACTATTATCAGTAAAAAGAATATAAAAATTATTTTTCCTTTCCTTTTAACCAAACAAAAAAAATGTCAAACTTCTAAATAAACTTTGAAACATTGCTAACCATTTTACTTTATATATCATCGTCTCATTTTCTCATTTGCTAACCATAGCTTCACATTTTTCTTCCAATCAAAAAACACTTTAAAATCGTTGACCCAAAATCAATGCCCACTTCTTAAACGTGTTGAAGATGACCAGTAAACTTGAAAATGACCCAAATTTTTTATGATTTTGAGACGTTTATTCATATTAATTTCGTTTATGTAAATATGAAAAGTTTGGTGTAAGAAACAACGTCTTAAGAATGGCTTCAACAATTACGTGTTCAATAGAGGGATACAAAAAATATGAAGATGAAAGGACTGTAATTTAAGCCAAATAAAAATGCATTAAATGACTTGTATGAAAAATTAGGAACAAAACAGGGTGAAACTACAATTTACAAATTATCAAAAAATGGAGAGAGGTTGACTAGAGATATGAATTGAGTTTGGTGTATTAAAGGATATAGATAAAAAAATATTTGTTAAAGAAGTATTATTTGTACCCACTCGATTGAGTTTGGTATCGAATTTTGTAACAAGGATATAACAAAATTTGAATTTCTGTAATTAGCGATTAAATTTTATGATAAAGATGTGTGGATAGGAAGAAAGAGGGAACAAAATAAGGATATTGAAATTATTCTAGAATTTGTTGTAATGTTTCCGTTTTTCGTCATTTCCCATTTTTGGAAGTTTTCGTTTTTGGCAAGGGCATTTTTGTCTTTTCACGTTTTGTGTACCGAACACCGTGTGAGTTAGGGATGAGGATATCTCGAAGACAGTGTTCCGTACACGATATGGACATTATGAGTTCCTTTTATGCCTTTTGGCTTGACTAATGCGCCAGCGGCATTCATGGACTTAATGAACCGTGTCTTTCACGATTACATTGACCAGTTTGTGGTAGTTTTCGTGGATGACATCCTTGTGTATTCACGATCTCAAGAGGAGCACGAGATCCATTTGAGCATTGTATTGCAGATTTTACGGGAGCACCCATTGTATGCCAAATATGAGAAGTGTGAATTTTGGCTACAGGAGGTGAAGTTCTTGGGATATATTGTTTCGAAAGGCGGAGTGCCGGTGGATCCATCAAAGATAGAAGTAGTTTTGAATTGGAAACATCCCAATAATATGTTTAAGATTCGAAGTTTTCTTGGCTTAGCGGGATATTATCGGAGATTTGTGAAGGATTTTTCCCATTTGGCAGCACCTATGACTTGCTTGACCCGGAAAAGGGATCAAGTTTACGTGGAATGAAGCATGCGAGTCTTCTTTTCAGGAGTTGAAGATAAGGTTGACTATGGCTCCAGTGTTGGTGATACCTGAGCGTGACTTGGGTTATGTAATTTATTATGACACTTCACGTGATAGTTTGGGTTGTGTGCTGATGCAGGGTGGTAGAGTAGTAGCTTATGGGTCTCGACAGTTGAAGATTCACGAGCTTAACTACCCTACTCATGACTTGGAGTTGGCGGCAGTTATGTTTGCTTTGAAGTGCTGGAGACACTACTTGTATGGTGAGCGATTCGAGGTGTTCTCAGATCACAAAAGTCTCAAGTACCTTTTCTCCCAGTAGGACTTGAACAACAGATATAGGTAATGGGTTGAGTTCTTCGAAGATTACAACTTTGACTTGCAGTATCATCCGGGCAAGGCAAATGTGGTAGTTGATGCCTTAAGCTGAAAATCTTGTGGGACATTAGCTGGCTTAGCTATTCGGAAGTGGAAGATACTTAAGGACTTAGCAGAGATGGGATTGTAGTGTTTTGATGATGACGTTTGTAGTGAGTCGGCATTCTTGTTTAGTCTTGTGGCTCAGCCTACTCTTGTCGGACGAGTAATTGAGACATAGAGACAAGATTCGGATTCGGATGTCATTCACACATTGATCTCCAGTGGTGAGACAGTGAAAGATTGGACCTTACATGCAGATAGAGGTCTACGGTTCAAGGGTTTGTTGGTCATTTCCATATGTTGTCTTAAGGACGTTCTACGAGAGCTTCACACTTCCCACTTTGCAGTTCATCCAGGTGGTACTAAAATGTATCACAATTTGAGACGTCAGTATTGGTGGAACGGAATGAAGAAAGATGTTGCACAGTTTGTGGCTAAGTACTTTACCTGTCAGCAGGTGAAGCCCGAAGATCAGAGACCAGCCGATTTATTGCAGTCATTGCCTGTAGCGCAATGGAAATGGGAGCAGATTGCTATGGATTTTATGACAGGTCTTCCTAGATCATGGAAAAGAAATGAAGTCGTATGGGTCATTATTGATAGATTGACCAAGACGCCTCACTTTTTGCCTATTAAGGAAACAGATGACGCAGAGGCACTTGGTGTTCTTTATGTGAAAGAGATTGTGAGGTTGCACGGAGTTCCAGTGGCTATTGTTTCAGATAGGGATGCCAAGTTCATTTCGAAGTTTTGGGAAAGACTTCAAGCAGCGTTCGGTTTATCGTTGCATCTTAGTACGGCATTCCATTGTCAGATGGACAGCCAGTCGGAGCGTACCATCTAGATTTTGGAGGATATGCTTCGAGCTTGTGTACTTGATTTGGGAGGTAATTTGGAGGATCACCTTCCACTTATTGAATTTGCCTACAACAACAGTTATTAGACGAGCATTGAG